CCATTGCCTTGACCCAGTGGTGTTCCTTCACAGCCTCTTGATAGGTTTGAGGATCCATTAAGGCTGTAAGGTTCATAGCATAACGTTTCTGCTGAGGAGTGAAGTTTTCATAGGAAACATAGTTAGTCATGCAGTATTGACTAACTTGATTGATAGCAGTGACATAGTCATTATGCCAAACAGGTGGTTTCCTAGTTCTAGGAGGTAACTGGTTTTCATCAAAATCATCACCAGGCTGCAGTTCATCCTCAGGTTCCTGATACTCAGAATCAAGAGATGCATCATTATATTCTTCCTCAAGATCAAGTGGAGCTGATGATGTAGAAGGTTCAGAAGATGCAGAAATGTGACCATTAGCTGGTGACTTCTGATGTCCTGAACTAGAAAGAACTACATCATCAGATAAGGATTGTGATGGAGCAAACTGGCCCCCATGATTCTGGGAATCAGGAACAAAAGGGAAGTTAACAACAGGAAGGTCAGGGGAATTCAAATCCTCTTCTTCTGTGGAAGACTTGTCCACCTGACCATGAAAGGGAAGAATGTCCTCATGGAAAGTGACATCACGAGAAATAAACACATCATGTGTCTGCAAATCAAATAGCTTAAAACCTTTTATCCCATGTGGATAACCAAGAAAAATAGCCTGTCTTGCTCTGCTTTGAAACTTTGTTCTACCACTACTTAATGTGGCAGCATATGCCAGACATCCAAAGACCTTGAGATGTCCCAGAAAAGGTGGAGTCTGATAAAGAACTTCATAAGGGCTTTTATTTTTCAAGACAGCTGTTGGTAATCTATTAATTAAGTGAACTGCGTGTAGAACACAATCACTCCAAAATTCAAGAGGCACCCCTGATTGAAACCTGAGAGCCCTGTCAACATTCAATATATGCTGATGTTTTCGTTCCACTCGACCATTCTGTTCTGGTGTGGCAACACAAGACATTTGATGCTCAATCCCATGTGCAGAATAGAAATCATGCATATGGAATTCTCTGCCTTGATCACTACGTATGACTTTAACTGGCTTAGAGAATTGTTTTTCAACCATTGAACAGAACCCTTGTAGAAGAGATCTGGTTTCTGACTTATGTTGCATAAGATAAATCCACACAGCACGAGAATGGTCATCCACAATAGTTAAGAAATAGGAAAAACCATCATATGATTCAACTGCCAAAGGCCCCCATATGTCAACATGGATCAAAGCAAAAACATCCTCAGCAACATTATCACTTAAAGGGAAAGGTAATCTCTTGTGTTTAGAAAAATGACAAGTCTCACAGTGTTTAACTCTCTCATTTCTAACTAAGGGATTACAAAATTCTAGCAATTGAACTTTCTGGTTTCTGGGGTGTCCTAAACGCCAATGCCAAAGATTGATATTCTGTGGTTGAAAATTGTAAACAGATGCAACTGTTGAGCTGAGAAGGTTTTCTGGACTTGACACTAACTGGTAGAGGCCCCTACTTTGTCTTGCCAAGCCAATCATCTTGGAGGTTACTAGGTCCTGGATAGTGCAAGAATCAGATTGAAAGTTTAGTGAGATGGGAAGATCATGTGTCAGTTTGCTAACTGACACAAGATTGAAAGTGAAACTAGGTATCAGTAAAACATTGTGTAAGGGTACTCCTGTGGGTAATTTTACTGATCCTATATGAGTCACTAGGACCTTAGTACTGTTAGGTAGGTAGACAAAAACATCATTGACTGGCTTGCAACTAGTAAACAGATTTTTTGAACACACTATATGATCTGAGGCTCCTGTGTCTAAGATCCATGAGTGCATAAGGGTGGCAGAATGACAGTGAATGAATGATGATAGGATGAATTTACCAGCTGAATTAGGAAACTGTGGCAACTGTTGAGATGTAGAGAAAGCAGCATGACGTATACTTGGTGAATGAGGGGGTGATGGTGAGGGAGATGGTGAGCTTGGAACACCTTGAAGCAGGAATCTCAGTTTGTTAAACTCTTCTCCAGTTAACTGCATGTTGAGCACATTCCCATTTGAAGACTGATTAGTATTCCCATTGTTCTGAACAGACTGTGATTCCTGAGAAACATCTTCTCCATCATTCACTGCTCCAGCAAAACGAGCATTGGCATTTCCAGGTTGTCCTTGATACTTTCTCTTCAACCTCCAACAGTCATTGATGTTATGATTAGTCATTTTGCAGTATCTGCAAAACAATCCAGTTTCACTGGTAACTTCTTCCTTGTTGGGTCTCTGAACTGGTCTATTGTTTAGCATTTGATTCTGCCCAACTCCCTGAGCACTAGGCCTTTGACCAGACTGGTTTCCATAAGCAGCCAATGCAACTGACTGAGAACTGCCTTTTCCTTTATCAGCCCTCAGTTTTTGCTCATGTTGTAACAGATCTGCATAGGCTGCTACAACTGTAGGTAATGGCTTCATCATAAGGAGATGAGTCTTAACGACATCAAAAGCTGGTGCAACTCCTCTGAGAAACCTAACAAGGTAGTCTGTTTCCTGTTTTGCCTTGAAGGCTTCAACAGCTGGGCAAAGCCTGGCCTGTCCAGGAGCACAATCACAAGGAACAATGGGATTGAACTTTGTGTACTCTTCCCAGAGACCTTTCATAGTAGTATAATACTGTGTAATAGTAAGATTCCCTTGTTTACAAGCATGAATTTCATCTTCCAAGTTAGTTAACTTGATAGCATTGGTCTGTCCAAAACGATTCAGCAACTCATCCCAGAGAGATTTAGCAATCTCATGACTCTGCACACTTCTCTTAATGTCCTTATGCAAGGAATTCATAATCCAACACAAAACAACAGTATTACAAGCATCCCATGCTCTAAAACCATTTGGATCGGTTTCCATATCAGGAATGGGTACTGACCCATCAATGAACCCAAGCTTATACTTGGTTTTAAGTGCAATCCTAATAGATCTAGCCCACATTTGGTAATTACTTCCATCCAAGACTTCAGAAATGATGGACTGTGAGAGATTCTCATTAGGATTCTGATAAAAAGGGTTACCAAAAATGAACTCTGATGAAGCATTTGAAGATCCTCCACCAGGGTTTGCTGTTGAGCTGACGCCAGAGTAAGGTGACGCTTCTTGTGACATGGTTTATAATGCTGCTGCTCTCAGAAGAATGAAGCTGCCGCCATGGCAGAGTGACGCTCTGATACCATAAGAAAAGGAAAGGGAAACTGGTTTGGGTGGATGAGAGCAGCAGAATTACTGCCTCACCTCTTTAGGGTTTTTCATTTATATAGAGAACTCAACGGCTAATCAACAGTGATTAACCAACATTCAAATCCAATTAACCCGCACAAGACACGTGGCCAATATGGATTCGCTTATTACAACAGACTCTGTATTTAACAGAGTAAAGAATAAAATAAAGTAAACGGCGTCGCATGGTAAAATGCTAGCCTAGTTCCAAACTCGAATCCGCTTCCACTTGAGCCCATCATCTTTGTGTTGCTGACACAAACCAATCCTTACTGCACTAGGATTGCTGTGCATCATTGCCATTGCTGCAGTCCTGATTCCTTCTTTATCTTCTGATAGAGAGGTCGAGGAAGACCCCAAAGGAATTGTGTTTTCATTCACTTTTTTATTTCGGGAGAAAAATAAATAAAGCTAAAAATTAAATCAATTTTTAATTAATTAATGGACGGATAGAGAGAGCCTCTCCGTCAGTTAGCCGAGTTTGGACTTTGGACAAGTATGATGGGTCGTCACTCGTCAGGTTTGGGCTCGGATTAAATAAATCCAACCCATGCCACATAATCATCTATGTGGACCAATAAAAAGTTGTGCCGCACTTTTTACAGCGACATTGTAGTATTGGCCCTTAAATTTTTATTTTCTCTTTTCCTTATGTATTCCTCTCGGAAACTAAAAAAAATATTAAATTCCACAATTATTCTCGTCAGTCTTCCTCGCCCTCCCTCTCCACCAAATTGTCAAAGGAACGTTCAGCCTTTCAGGTAAACTTCTGTTGCCAATCAAAATCTCATATACAGAATACAGGCATACAACTTCTTCGTTTGATCTCCACTATGTTCATTCTCTATCCTTCTCCCTGAAATCTCCGTCATGCTACCCATTGTTCAGTTTCTGCCCATGGTGTTGCTCCCAATTTGCTTAATATGAATGTCGATTCTACATTGTCGTATCAAATTCTAAGTCGAATCGATGATACAGCCATCATTAGGCATGTCTTTGTCTTTTCCCTTCCACCTGTTGGAGTTCGTTTTTGCTTCTCTGTTCATATTCGTTTTGGTCGCTTCCTTGTTTTGTGGCTTTTTGGGCTCTCGTCTTTGTTTCTTATTGGCATATAGTTGTTCCTGTCAAGTGATTTTGGGATGGTGTCTTAAATGGTTGATCTCCCTCTTTTTGTAGAGTGTTCATTTTCCACTTCCATTTTCCCTGTTTTGCTCCCCTCTTGTTTCATGTGTCTCACCTGATAAGGCACCCCGAGTCTTCAGCCCCATTCGTTGCAACCAATTTCTGTTTCAAACGTCTTTCTTCAACTCTTCCTGTAATCTCACCATTTCAGTTTCACACGATCAACAACCTCTGTGTATAAATTGATGTATTGAGAATCATAATAATATCAAGGATTACCTGAGATTTCATGGTATCATATCTTCCCTACTTTACGGCATCCTAATCCTCTCTTCTTCTATCTTTTTTTCTCTTCTATCTTCTCTCTTTCTGTCTGCCATGTCCAGCGGCACGTCCTCTCCTTCCTCTACCTCCGAGACCGCCGGCCACCTGCCCTCCCTCCCACTCCCCATCATATTGCCGTCAAACTCTCCCCCACCAATTACCTCCTGTGGAAGCTTCAGTTGCCACCTTTGCTCAACAGCTTTGATCTTGCTCAATACGTTGACGGTTCTTCTCCGGCTCCTCCTCGCTACCTTGCCGATAACGTCTCTAATCCGGCGTATGCTGTGTGGTACAAAAGAGATCAACTTGTTCTATCTTGGCTTGTTATGTCTTTAACTGATGTTGTTCTTTCTTAATTGGTGGGGTGCACGTCTGGGTTGGATGCTTGGACCTGTCTCGCCACAACCTACGGCCCCGCCAGTCATCACAGCATTCGCCATCTCAAAGATCGCTTTGACACTGTCACTTGCGGCACTGACTCTGCGGAGAGGTATCTTGCTCGTGCCAAAGAGATTTTGACCAGTCTGGCCGCCCTCGGCCATCCCATCTCCAACGACGATCTCGTCACCCGCTGCCTCAAAGGACTAGGTGAGTCCTTCCTTCCTTTTGTTCGAGTGCTTAAGGCATGGCCAAAACCCATCTCCTTCGACGATTTTCATGGCCTCCTCCTCAATGAAGAAACTCGACTTCACAGCATCGCCTTCTTGCCGATGGCTCCTCACTGTCAGTCCTCTACAGCAAAACAGGCATGCGCGGCGGCAGGGGCCTGAGATCTCGTGGCGGCGGTCGAACTAGAGGGGGCCGACTCTCTTATTCTTCTGCTGGTCACTTTCCCCATTTAGCTGGGCGTCATCAGGGACTTCTAGAGCCTCGCCCCACAAGCACCACCAACATGTCTATTTCTTCTTCTTATGCAGGGTCTGGTGCAATGAAGTGCTATAATTGTCAATGCTTTGGTCACTTAGCCCGTCACTGTCCCACTCCATCCCATTCACCAAGAAATGCACCACATGCTCACTACGCAGCCTCCCCCATCCCTAAAGATTGGATCCTCGATTCGGGCTCCAATTATCATCTTAGATCCGACCTCTACAACCTTGCCCTTCACTCGGAATATCATGGTCCTGACGAGGTATCCTTCGGTAATGGTATCACTCTTCCCATCACTCACACCGGCTCTTCCCTTGCTGCTCTTAATCATTGTCCCTTTCAACTTTTCAAAGTTCTTCGTGTCCCATCTACCACACATAATCTCCTCTCCATTAATACTAGAGCTGTCAAAATGTAACCCGACCCGAGTAACCCGCCCGATCAACCCGACCCGCAACCCGATTTGACTAAAAGTCAATGACCCGCAACCCGATCGACCCGCAACCCGACTAACTCGCAACCCGATCGAACCGCAACCCAATCGACCCGCAACCCGATTAACCCGCAACCCGACCAACCCACAACCCGACTAACCCGAACTCGTAACCCGACCAACCCGCAACCCAACTATAATAGAAGGAATTCGATGAAGATAAACCAAAAGTTGACATTTGAAATTGTAGTTCACTAAAGTCTGATCATTACATCATCAAATATTAACTTAGTATAATAATATACATCATCAACCTATTAACGCATATAATATCATCAAATAATTATTTAGATACATCATCAACCTAATAGTGTACATAACATTATAAAATATTAATTTAGCATAATAAGATAATTATAAGATTTAAAATCCAAATATCATGGTCCTGTCATAAAAAAGACTAATAATAGTTCACAAAAGTCTGATCATAACAAGAATACATGACTCATAATAGTTCATATTGTCTCAAGACCTCAAATATCAATAAAAACATGTCCAAAAAACAAATTGACATTCCAAATGACGATCATAACAAGAATACATGACTCATAATAGTGTTCACGACCGGCGAAAGAAAGAAGTGACGATAACACTGGAGGGAAGAGGCGGCGGTCAAGGTTGCTCTGCTCTCTCGATTTCGGGTTGCGACACGAACAAAGAAATAGAAATGGTTGTCGGCGAAGGGATCTAATTGATTTAAAGGGGCGGCGGTCAACTGTGCCTGACCCACGGCAGCATACCAAATTGTGAGGTAGCGGAGTTGGTTAATGGTTGTTTGGTGAATTAGTAATTAGTAAACAGAGGTTAGTGTTTCGTTACATAGTGAATATTTTTTTATTATTATTAACTGTCTACTTATTTTAGTTGCCGTTTAAATTAACTACTTGCTTATTTTAGTTGGTGTATAGGGTATATAATGAGTGTAATGGGTTAGGATATAAGATATTAATGTTTTAGGCACGATTAGTCAAAAACTCAAAATAATAACTTATAACTAATAAGGATCGATTTTTTTATTACACGTGTTCATGAATCAAACCATTAGGGGTTTAGGGTATAGACTATAGAGTCGATGTATAGGGTATATGGTTAGTCTAATGGGTTAGGGTATAAGCACTACAGGAAAACTAGTTTTTTAGTCACGGGATCATATTCACGGTAGTGTTTCCCGTACACAAAAGTATACTAATATTCACGGTAAAATTTTCCGTAATTGATTATATAGCTATAATCACAGGAATTTATTTACGTGTATTTTAGCCTTCTCTTCCCATCTAGAACGAGATCCATATTTTCCTCATTATTATTACATGTGAATCATAGAACGAGATCCCATCTAAATAAAAATCATAGAACGAGAAGATAATACCCTCACCAATAGCTAGAAAATAGAAATTTAAGAAAATCGTTTCATTTTGATAACCCGCCAAATGATTTTGCGTTTCCCGGGCCTTTGCCAATTCTAAAATTTCATGACCACCAGGCGCCAAACTCTTTTCATTTCCCGGGTCATTTTTTGGGCTCTCCAATCGTGTAGAGAAAAGGTAGGAATTAGAAAATAAATGAACTTTTTCACTTATGTGTCCGTATTAAACATAGGTTGTCCTTACTTTCCCCAATTTCTTCTACGAAGGGAATTGCTTCCTCAACTTCATCTATGTTTTCCTTCTCAATTGCCGTAGACATGGTTGAGAAAAATTCACGCTACCCGTTCAGCCTGCTCTCAGTCTAACAGAAGGTGCATTCCGATTCTTTGATCTTGCTTTCTCTCTCCCTTAAAAAGAGATTGCATTTGCTTTTTTAGGGTTTTGTTTCTGCAAATTTCAGACTCTTTCCCCAAATTTGATTCGATTGTGCTAGCTTCATATAGTTACGATTTACGACTTACTAGTAATCACTAAAAAGTAACGTGATGTTCTGGTCCGTAAAACCCGCAACCCGATTGACCCGCAACCCGATTGACCCGTAACCCGAGTAACCCGCAACCCGATCGACCAACAACCTGACCAACCCGCAACCCGAATGAACCCAGCCCGAACCCGCCCGATTGACACCTCTAATTAATACCCTTGCCCGAACTAATCCTATTTCTATTCATTTTTTATGACTCTTTTCTTATCAAGTACACGCAGTCAAAGACAATCCTCCATCAAGGCCGGAGTAAAGATGGACTCTATTCTATTCCGGTGTCCATCCTTGCTTCTCCACCTCCGAGCACCCTTCAGACCACCCTCACTCAATGGCACCAATGGCTAGGACATCCCCACTCTCGTGTTTTGCGTCAAGTTATTAATTTCAACTCTTTGTTTTTTTCCAATAAATCCGACTCTCATCTTTGTCATGGATGTAGTGTATCGAAAATTCACAAACTCTCATTTCCACATTCTACATACCATGCTCAAGGTCCCTTAGATTTGATTTGTAGTGATGTTTGGGGCCCATCCCCGGAACTTTCCGTTGATGGTCATCTCTATTACATTCTCTTTTATGATCACTTTAATAAATTCACTTGGATCTTTCCTACTCGCTATCGCTCCAATCTACTTGTCATCTTCATTCAATTTCGCACCCATGTTGAGAAATTCTTCAATCACCCTATCAAAGTTTTCCAAGCTGATTGGGGAGGGAAGTACCAGAAACTCGGTACCTACCTCTAGTCTTAAGGTATTCTTCATCGCTCTTCCTGTCCCTACACACCGGAGAAAATGATTGTGCCGAGCGAAAACATAGACATATAGTCGAAACCTGCTTAGCCCTCCTCCATCATACCTCTGTGCCTATAAAATTGTGGTCCTATGCCTTTGACACTGCCTTCTACCTCATTAGTCATCTTCCCACACCTCTCTTATCCTTTCGTACCCCCTCGAAGCCCTCTATGACTCTAAACCCGACTACTCCACTCTCCGTATCTTTGGTTGTCTCTGCTATCCATGATTGCGTCCTCTCACTCGTCATAAACTCCAACCCCGTTCTTCTCCATGTGTGTTCCTTGCTTACAGCTCCACTCATAAAGGTTATCATTGTTATAATCTCTCCACACACAAAATCCATATCTCACGTCATGTGTTATTCGACGAAACGTGTTTCCCCTTTAAAAATACCCCACTAGTGTCTCCCTTCCCTACCATTTCCACTAATTTCACCCCTGCTTCTTTTCCCATTTATTTACCCATCCCCAGCACCTCACCCCCACTGCTCCATAGCCCATCTTCACACCCACGACCCAATAACCCCCAAACCAGCCCACATACCCCACCTACGACCCACATTCCCCATCCACCCTCTAGCCCATCCACCACTCGGCAATCCATCCTCCTTCTCCCACTGTCCCCAACTTCGCCCGGCCCACCACTTCCTCCCTTCACAAAACCAATGCTCGCTCCAATATCCACCCCACCTTTCCCTTACCCACAATTACCAAACCCCGTACCCAGCACCTCCGTCATCCTCCCCCTGCTCCCAATCTTCAAACTCACCGTCGCCGTCCCACTCCACAGCCCAATCCCATGCTTACTCCCACCAAAACTGGGAACCTCAAACCCAACACGTTCATCTTCCACCATACATCAACCCTCCCTCCCCTACCAACCACGCCACGACAAGCACTTCTCAATCCGTTATGGCGGCTCGCAATGAAGGAAGAGCACAATGCGTTACTACAGAATCAGACATGGGAGATGGTATCGCCCTCCCATGAGCAAAATGTTTTATCCTGTAAATGTTATTCCGCATCAAGACCAAGTCCGATGGCCAAATCGATCGCTACAAAGCCAGATTGGTTGCCAACGGCTTTCAACTGCGACCGGGTATCGACTTCCACGATACTTTTAGCCCGGTTCTCAAGCCCACTACGCTCCGGCTCATCCTCTCCCTCGCTTGCTCACCGTTGGCCCATCCGCCAATTGGATATCGCAAACGCCTTCCTCCACGACGACCTAGAAGATACAGTTTTTATGCGGCAGCCCCCTGGATTTGTTGATCCCACTAGCCCACCTCACGTCTGTCGCTTGAAGAAATCCTTCTACGGCCTTAAGCAAACTCCTCGAGCTTGGTTTCACTATCTCCGGCGATCTCTCGAGTCTTACGGTTTTCGAGGCTCCCACATGGATCCTTCCTTGTTCATCCTTGTTCGAGGCTCACTTCGTATTTATGTGTTAGTTTAAGTTGATGACATCTTAATCACAAGAAACCAATCAGCAGCTTTGCACGACGTATTTGCCTACCTATAACACCGTTTTGCAGTTCGAGACATAGGTAGACTCTCATTCTTCCTCGGCATTGAAGCAATATGGACATAAAAGGGTCTGCTCCTCTCCCAACGCAAATACCTCAATAACATACTCCAGCGTGCAAACATGGCGAATGCTCATGTTCTCTCCACACCAACTGCCGTGTCTCCTTCCACACCAGACATTAC